CCCTAAACGCTGGACCCTAAACCCGAAACCCTAAACCCTAAACTTACGTGTATGTCATCCAGGCCCCCCACATTTTGCCGGCAGGAGCTTCAGAAGAAGCTGCGTGGTTTCTCCGATACAGCGGCACTGAAGGCGAGGAAGCTTACTTCGACGGTTTAGGGTTTAGGGTTTTAGGGTCTAGGGTTTCAGGATTTAGGGCTTTAGGGGTTTAGGGTTTTAGGATTTAGGGCTTTAGGGGTTTAGGGTTTAGGGTTTAGGGCTTTAGGGTTTTAGGGTTTAGGATTTGGGGTTTTAGGGTTTTAGGGTTTAGGATTTGGGGTTTAGGGCTCAGGCTTCAGTTTGCCAGCGCCGCCCTCTGAAAGATTTCGCCTGTTGCTTGGCCTCTGGGATAACTTTGTTTAGGTGGTTGGACAGCAACCTTAAACCCTGATAAAACTCTACACCCCAGACCCTCCAACCCTATAAGGTCTCGGAGCACAGGCCCTTGTAGACCCTAATCCGTAAAGTCCCCCTTGCAAAATCTAAACCCTTAGACCTAAACGCTCAGACCCTAAGCCGTAAAGTCTACCTTGCAATATCCTATAACGTCAGGCCGGAGGAAACTTGGCGAGTTGGTGGGGGGGGGTCAGGGATGTAGAGATGTCTGGTTCCCGAAAGCGTCTCCTACTCGTGTTTAGGGCTTTAGGGCTTTATGGTTCAAAGTTTAGGGCTTTAGGGCTTTAGGATTTCAGGTGTTAGGGTTTAGGGTTTAGGGTTTTAGGGTTTAGGGTTTTAGATCTTAGGGCTTTAGGATTTAAGGTTTTGGGGTTTAGGGTTTAGGGTTTAGGGATGGGAGTTCAGGCTTAGACCAGAAGCTCGAAACCCATAGCCAAATACACCCTCAAGTTTGGCCCTTGGCACGGAGTTGACACTTTCAGCAAATAGGATACCGGAACATGTTTAACATAGGCCCTGGATAAGAAAGTCCGCATTAGAATGAAGCCTCCCAAGGATAAGATAGGATCCTAAACCCTGAACCCTAAACCCTAAACCCTACGTAAGCCTCATGTCGGAAGCCTAAACGACCTTAAACCCAACCCTGGAAACGCCAAATCCTTCACCACATATGGAAGACTTCTCTACGGAGCCCTTTTGTAAACAGAGCAACCTTACTATGGAAGCTTCAGTGCATACGAACAATAATCTTAGCATTCCTTGTTATATGTATTAGTATAAAGGAGCCCAAAACCTTATTCTAATTATTCAGGCCCCTGCATTTCGACCTGAAGCTCTGAACTGATATAGGGGCCTCAATAATGAGACTAGGGTTTTGGGGTCCAATACTACTATGAGTATATAATAAGGACCCCCCCCCCACAATAGTATAGGTAATGATTTCGACCTCTATTTTTAGACTATACCCTAAACCCTAATAAATGCTACACCCTAAACCCTAAACCCTTCAAGTTAGACCCCTATATTACGCGACCCTAAACCCTAAACCCAATAATACTATGATTATAAGGAACCCCCACAGCAGTATTGGTAATGATTTAGACCCCTATATTATACTATACCCTAAACCCTAATAAGCGCTAGACCCTAGACCCCTAAACCCTAATCAACCCTAAACCCTAAACCTTAATAAACCCTAAACCCCAAACCCCTAAACCCCTAAACCCCTAAACTCCCAAACCCTAAGCCCCTAAATCCCTAAACCCCTAAACCCTTAAACCCTAAACTCCTAAACCCTAAACCCCTGAACCCCAAACCCCCAAAATTGCGCGACCTGCCCCAGGCCAAGCGGGTTCTCAGCCGCATGACGGACGAAGCCACAGCCGGGCTCCAGGCCACGGTCTCCTTTTTTTAGGGTTTTAAGGGGCTTAAAAAGGTTGAAATTTAGGGTTTAAGGGTTTAGGGTTTGAATCTGGGGTTTAAGGGTTTAGGGTTTAGCTTTAGGGTTTAAGGGTCTGCGGTTTAGGTTTAGGGTTTAGAACTATAGGGTTACGGCTTCAGAAAGTTCATGGGTGTTGAGGCTTTCTGCTGTAGAGTGTGCATTCAAGGCTTTTTTGGGTTGTGAGGGTTCCGGGAGTCTAGCTTCGGAAACCAGACCTCTGAACTCTAAACCCCATACCAAGGCGTCCCTAAACCCTAAACCGTAAACCCTATACCCTAAACCCTAAACCCTAAACCCCCACGTGCCGGCACACCAGGCCCTTGGAGGTTCGACCCCTCTCTCATTGTTCAACACTCCTGAGTCATCATCCGTGCAAGAAGTCCGTAGTTACTGGCAAAACCCCTATACTACCCTTTAAAGGAAGCCTAGGATCCCTTTTGTCCCCCTTAAAGGGACCCCGACCATAACGCCGGTGAAACTGGACAGCCCGAAACCCTAAACCCCCAAGCCCGAAACCCACTGGCAGGCTTTTGCCTTCAAAGCTTGGATTGACTTCAAGTTCTCGGAGAAGCAGGCTCCCCCCCTAAACCCTAAACCCTAAACCCCTAAGCCCTAAACCCCTAAACCCTAAACCCTAAACCCCTTGAAGCCTAAACCCTAGTCCCCCAGCCCCTTTTGGGATTTAGGTCTTGCTTTGGCAGGGTCAGACTGCGGCTTCAGGGTTGACCTATAGGCTCCACGTTATTTCTTTCTGTGGTTCATGTCTAGGATCCTATAAGGCAATCCCGACAAAGAGCCACAATGTAGCCGAAAGTAGGGGCTTAAATAAGTACAAATACTATGTTGGGGATTCCTTATTATAACTATAGTACAAAAGACACCAAAACCCTGTTCTAACTATGAAGGCCCCTATATTAAGCCCTAAACCCTAACCCCTAAAATCTGAACCCTAAACCCTAAACCCTAATCCCTAAATTAAGTCCCCTGTATCAGGGTTTCAGAACTAGGGTTTCAGGGTTTGGATCCAGGAAACGAAGGGAAGATCAGGGGCTACTGGTGTCAGCTCATAAGGGTTTAGGGTTTAGGGTTTAGGGTTTAGGGTTTAGGGTTTAGGGCTCAGGGCTTCGGGTTGAGGGTTTCGGGTTTAGGTTTTTGGGTTTGTGGCTTTAGGGTTTAGGGTATAGGGTTTCGGGTTCAGGGTTTAGGGTTTAGGCAGGACGGCTTGAACTTTGCCGTCGTTGAGCCTGACATGAGCATGTTCTCAGCTCATATGGTAAAGGTTTCACTTCTAGGGTCCCGTTATCGTAATATCTGTAGCGATGATGTGCTCCCTGTAATCTTGACATAGACTGAATTGAACCCTAAACCCTAAACCCTGCAACATGTCCCAATTGTTGGCGCCTGAACAAGCAACAGGCTATAAGTGGCCTTCGAGTTCCCCGTGCATGCACACTTCTTACCAAAGAACATTCAGACAAACTCTTTTCGAGCTGTTTCACCCCCCCTTGGGAGACCCCTTAAAAGGGGACCCTTCTTAACCCTACTTCTGGCTCTCTTGAAAGGGACCTTTGTTGAGAGGGTCTATATCCCCAAGGGTCCTGACTCCCACCAAGAAACCGTGCAACCCGGAAATCAGCCCTTGAAGTTTGGCAATGTAGGGGCCCTAATACTGTAATTAGAATAGGGTTTGGGGGTAGGTTATACTATAATTACAAAAAGAAGCCCTGAAAACCCAATTCTAATGACTAAGGCCCCTACATTAATCCCCGTTCCCGAATACATCATGGGGGGGGCCTCAAAACGAGTAAGCCGGATGATTTAGGGTTTAGGGTGCAGGGTTTAGGATTTGAGATGAGGTCAAAATTATCGTATATTGGTTGTAGAGCAGGCGGTTGTCGAAGATGGCCAATGCTACCGTTGACTTGTAAAACGATAGGGGACGCCCTAAAGACGATACCCTAAATGCAGCAATGTTGCCATTGCAT